CTTTGTAAAGAAGTACACTATTTTCTGATTTTAAAAAAATTAAAAGCAAATGTATTTCTTAACCATTCCATCAAGCATTAAGAGCATTACCCACCTAAAATTATGCATCAGCAATATGGATCGTTCTATCTAAAAACCAAAGTACGGCAGTCCAGAGAACTAGGAACAGACATGAAGTCTCTTGCTTGCTCATCTCAGTGTGCAACACAGCTAAGTGCCTAAAACACCAGGACATTAAGGGATAACTAGTACTTAGATTAAAAGATGGTTTTGTACAGTTCTTGTCAGTGTTTAAACAGATCTCTCCTCTTGCCCCAAACAAGAAATAGACATGAGGTTATGCCACGATTAACTTAGTTTATTTTGCTATTGGTCTCCTTAGTTAAGAAGCTCTTCATTTATAATACAAAAAAAAGGTAAGAAGCTAAGAATTAAAGCACAGAGATCTAAAATTGTTTAAAAATATATACAGTCATGCTTACACACTGTGAATATTACTTAAAATTGTGATTTCTCTGTATAAGTGCCCCAACCTTCCAAATAATAGTACCACCTTTTCTGAGAGGTTTTGCTATTTAGCAAGACTCAGAAAGTGCTGAAGAAGGCTACATCAAGGAAAAAATTTTAAAGAGGACAAATATATCTTTGCCAATGGAATGATTTAGTGAAATTAGAATTATAACTGGAATAATCTTTGCAATATGTGATAATGGGTATAGTTTTCTTAGACAATTTTACTCAAAAGACTTCAAGTGTATGTTAAGGTGCATTAAAATACTTTGCTTTAACTAACCGATCTTTAAAAAAAACCCATCAGTTAATTCTATGCGTATTCATTCCTGTTGTACACAGACATTCCCGTGTTTTAGAAAGTTAGTTTCCACTATTCATATATGTCAATACATTTTTCATGTTCTAGTTAAAAAAAATGGTTCACTGACTTTACCTACCATACCCAGTTTACTAGAAAAACTGTGTATGTCTGTGTTGCAAAGGAAAGGAAAACTCAGAGGGAAAAAGTCAGTGAGGTTTCCCCCTTGTGCCACAAACCTGACATCATTCAGCAGACTCCTACTGAGTCCAATGAGAGCCCAAAGACAAGGAGGAAAAAAAAAAAAAGACGACTTCCAAGTTGGCTCTTTAGTTTTACAGAAGACCTAGACTGAAAGTCTAAGCAAAAAAACGCTGGTCAGAGGAGGGGACAAATTAAATTTCATTGTTAGGAGAATGTTATTCAACATAAAACTTCAGAGAATATTTTTGAATTTGTTCAACTTCAAACATCAACCGTAAGACAAAAGGTAGCCTTAAGATACACTACCTTTCTCTGTGCTCCCATTAATTTTAGGTATGAAGTCGTCAACTTGTATGCCTAGGATTAAGAAAGGGTATTATTTCTGGAACCAAGCAAAATGTTTTGGGTTTTGTTTCTTTTAGAAATACAGCACTAAGAAATTCATCTGGCTTTTCATACTACCTCCTCCTTCTAAGTATCTAATCCATAAAAACAGGCAAAATCTAGTGTTTTCCTACACTACAGATCATGTTCCTGTTTGTTCAAACATATAAGAGGTTACCATCACCCAAAGAATTACTGCCTATTATATTTTTTAAAAATCCTTTATATAAATATGTAAATATACATTTGATATACATATGTAAATAAAATCCTTCAAAATCGTGGAGCTGAGGGGGTGCAAACAGGCTCTAAACCGAGCAATGACCCAGAAGTCTGAACACTCACACCAGCAGTGCCCTCTTCTGGCATTCTGTTGCGGCCACATGTCTTTCAATGTTAACAATGATACCAAGACGACTGCACTACTGGGGTAACTGTAAAACGTTCTTTTGCCAGACACCTAGACTACAGGATTACAATAAATAAAAAGTAATCGAACAGAAAATCTGGAAACCAGCTTGAGACAAGAAACTGATCACACCTACCTAAGCTGTTGTGTTCTTTAAGAGTTTTCTCTTGAAGATGTTCTAACCGTACTGTAAACAGAAGTCCAAAAAAAAGATATTTCACAGATTAAAAGAAAAACAAATAATCAAAGTTTCTTCCCCACTAGTGACTAACCTTGTAATGCAGTTAGCCGCTCGTTGGTGAAGTCATTATCAGCCTGCAAAGCTTCTATTTTTGCTTGAAGCTCTTGCTCCCTCTCCTCCATTTCATCTATTTTATGCTGTAATTCTTTTTTCTCTGCCAGTCCTTTCTGTTGGATTTCTTCTTGTCTTCCTTCTGCTACCTGCTCAAAACAGGTTAAAAAAAAATCCTTTTTTTTTTTGCTGGCCTTAAGACAAGCAATTTTAATTTGGAAAGACAGGTCTTGTCTGAGGTGCTGAACTAGGACTCAAAAAACCTAAGTTCAAATTTCAGTATGTCTCTGAGACAAATGCAACAACTGTCTCGGACCTACAAAGACACCACCACTACCACCTTCCACATCATCTACTCACCTAGACTGGAGACTCTTTGGGAACAGGCTTTATCATACTGTGATTATTTTGTTCTCAAGCATAAAGGACCTTTCAATATTAATATACTTAGATGTTCAGTTTATTAACAAACCTGATAGCACACCCCTTCCCCCTGGAAGCTGAGCCATATTACCAGCATGTGGCAGGCTAGTTACATTTGTAACTGCACAAAGAGGCAACATGAAATGCATAAATATTTCTAATTCTAGTTCTCGTTCCCATTAACTGTAAAATGTTTAAATTGAAAGTTGTCTACAAAAAAAGCAGCTGAATATAAAGTATAACACCATCACAATTTTATATTAAATATATTGCATCTCCAAAAATATGATAACTAAGTGAACAAAAATGGAATCTTTTTAGCAATTTACTTAACTGATGACACTGTCATGTATATTAAATGTAAACCAAAAGAATATATAAAGATGTCCATGTTCCTTACATTAACCTCTAGGTGATTGCCACATTAGAAATTAAATTTATTTAGTTGTTAAATGCATGACAGTACCCTCCTAAGTCAGACAAAATTCTGTCATTACCTTTAGCTTGTCAGAAAGATCTTTAATTTCATTTACAGCTCCATTGTACTTATTAGCTAATTCTCTTAATTCTTCCTGAGTCCGCTCATTCATCTCTTTCAGGTGAGTACATTCATCTTCTGTATTACTTAAACTCCGCTGTAAGACAGAATTATTATGCAACAAATAAAAAAAATACAGACTAATATTCTATCATACAGTGAAGTTGATTTTTTTTTCCAAACAGTATATGTAACTAATCATATTTAACTGCTTTATTCCTAATCATTAAGGCTAAAAATACCACCTATACAAACCTTTGTAATGCTTTGCTTAAAGAACAGATTATGTGAAAAGGTATTAGTTTCATGCATGTGTAAAAACCCCCAAACCAAAACCCCCCAGTAGGTTTAATGATTGTGATTGATAGGAATAAAGAACCAAAACGTGTGATCCATCTCCCCCATTCTCTTCTGGTTTATAATAAAGGGTGAATCACAACATAATACAAAACTTCCAATGCTATCAACAGATTTCATCATACCTTCATGAAAGATTTAACACATTATATAAGCCAAGTAGCTCCAAGGACATGTTCTAAATCTTTTTCTGGACTTCATAATGTGGAAAGGGAGCTAAACTAAGATCCCCTTACTTCAGGGGCAGCTGGGTCTGCAGGAGACAAGGAATGCTCAAGAAGCATTGTCATCATCTGGTGACAGCACCACAACTAAAAGCTGTGTCAAGCTTCTTCCTCATAGCTCAAGATTTGTTTCTGCATTAATACAACTCTTCTTAGGTTTTTTGTGTAACAAGCTCTGGGTTAGTTCTTCACCACGAAAACACCTTTAAACAAAAGTTAAAAGCTACTTTGTACAGTAATTATTAAAGGACAACTTTCAACCAGGAGCCAGTGATTCTTTTGTGCGGAAAGAAAAAGTATGTGGCAGGAAGCACTCAAGTAAATCTCTTCACTACAACAGTTAAATTAATATTTCTGCCCCAAGGGTCAAAGTAAAGAGGAAAAAGTATAATAAAAAAGTCAGAAAATTCTTATCTTAGTAAAGGATTGGAAAGGAGAAGAAAGCTAGAAGCTAAACATAAAACGCCAACCTTAACAAACCCATCAAGAGCTATTAAAATATAAAAAGGTGTATTTAACTGAAATCTCATAGGGTTATTTATTACAGCACTATATGCATCACATTCTTCAGAAAGCATGAAGAGGGTAGACACTCTGAGCACTTCAAATGAAGTCTTAAAATATTTCTTGACCTAAGGCATCATAATGGGAAGTGTTAGTGAAGAGAAAATAAAGGAAAAGGTAACGATGAGAGCAATTACAGGGACAGAAATCTTATTGAAAAAAAGTTTCCAACCCTTGGTGATCTTAAAGCTCATTCTTAAGTGTAATTTGCGTACGTGGTTAAGTATGTTTCCATAAAATTTATACTTTAAACAATGCTTTCAACAGCATTTTTTCTAATATAGGTATGCCATTTTCCCTTCACTTATTTCCCACTTGTACTAACTTCTGTAAGACAGCTTCATGAATTTTGAAATCTGGCAGAAAAAGGAGATCGAAGAACAGTTTCTCAACTGCTGTCAACTAGGAGAAATAAACACGACTAGTCAATACACTGCAAGTGCCACAAGACAACAAATACTGGCACATTACAGGCAACAAAACAGGCATCTAAGTAGCAGCAGTTATAACTATTTCAACACTTCCAGAAGGCTAAGTATGAAACTTCAATACCTCCACTTCAGACAGTTTTCTGACCACTTCAATTTTCTCCTGAAGGACCCGCCTCAGGGACTCTTTGGCTGTTGTCTCATAGTTGTGTTTGTCTTCTTGTAATGCTATAAGCTCTTTTCGTATACTGTCTTCTGTTTGATTCTGTAGTAAGATAATTCAGATAAAGACAATATAAATTAGCATTTTGCTGATTAAATATATTAGATCATGATAAGACCTGTTGTATTTCAAAATGTTTAGCAACCTGTGGTAGATAGGAAAATGTTATGGACAAATCAGTGATCAAAAAATTCTTGAGATGACTGGGTGTAAACCAGTTATTTTTTGTAGTGTATGTAAGGCAGCACACATTCATTATCAGCTTTGATAAGACAACGTCAAGCCTAGGGAATCCCCAATCTGACAAACCAGAAACCTAGAAGGTCCCTGAAAGACCTCCAAACAGGACTTACAAAAAATTTCTTGCAATGTAGGTAGCTGAGAGGGAAATAAAAGAAAACCAAAAGTTTAAGGCAGGCATAAGTGGCCTAAAGAACAATTAAGGCACAGCATACTTGTTACTCTGTCTCTAGGAGGCAGCACATTGATAATGCCTTTTTTCAAAGGCCTATTTGGAAAGAAATATCCATAGGAAACCAGACAGAATGGTTGCCTCTCACAGATGACAAACTCCTTTCCTGAGTTTCATTAGATATACATTTATATGCGTATAGAAAAGAAATCAGTTTAGGCTAAAAAAAGCTGAAAAACAGTTGTTTATCTAGATTTAAAATTATTCAATCAAATACATAACAGATCCAGAGTTTTCATGCTATTCAGATTACCAAAATTACACAGGCTGATTTCAGAAAGTTTTTGTTTCAGGAGCTTTCCTATAAATAGCTAATTTCAAAACACTTCAAAAGGGCTATTTATCAGCATTCTTAGCATTCAACTCCAAGTGAACTACTTACCTTTGAACATGCCTGTAATTGGTTTCCCATAACCTCTAATCTTGATAGCAGCCTGTCTTCATCTATTAAAGCCTAGCAGAAAAAAGGGATCACCATAGTATTAACATCTGCTTAATGTAGTTCCGGTAGACTTCTGCTTTAAAAAAACTGAATTTTGTTGGCATACTTACTACTAACAATTATTTCCAACTGCTACATAATCACCAAGTTGATTAAAAATTATCTTTTGCACAGGTTAAGAGAATCGCCGTAAGCTTTTCATTGTTTCTGCTTCTGTTTGTAAATTAATAGCTAAAATTTATATGCCACTGCCTATTTCAGTCCATAAAAGAAAAGGATGCTTGCAGATACCTGCCAACTAGTATCTGAAGCCTCTTGCGTGACAGCAAGTAGTCGCTGAAGGGTTGCCAGCTTCTGTTCCAACATTTGTTCCCGATGTAAGGCTTCCTATGAAGAGAGCAAAGCACCAGTCAGTACAGCTAAAACAGCTCAGAAAAAAAGACACAAGAGATAGCAAAACACAAAAAAAGAGTGGTTAGCATTGTCACATACACAAAACTATAAGCAGCCCATCCCATTTTATCCATTCACACATTTATTTGGATTATTTTAATTATAAAATGTTATCCTATAACCTCATGTTCCTGAAAACCTTTTTTATGCCCATGTTGCACATGCTGAGTACACATAGTAACAAGTTATACTTTCCGAGACTTAAAAACAGTGACTTTTGTCAATAATTCGAGCAATAAAATTGTAAACACCAAAAGGCAGCTTGGCAGCTCCAAAGCTATGAGCTGTTCATCCCCAAATCAGGTCACAAAAGAAAGATGCCAAGCAAGAACTGCTATTTTTGTTCAATTTTAGCTTTACAACAGTAAGATAGGGCATCTTTGTTAACAATTCCAGGATACAGAGCATGAACAGATTGGTGAGTGAGTATGTATTTGGCCTCCCAGGAAAGAGCATCTGCCTGAGCTGCTCCCTGCTATGTCAGCGAATACATATAACACTGGTATCTGTTTCAAAAGCCTCATAATTGAGTGAAAAAATAAAAATTGCCACTATCAGAGAAAAAGAGGCAAAGTCAGTCAGCAGAACTACACATAAATTAAAGCTACATACAATTTATCAGGAAGAATGTTTTCACATCTTTTTCAGAAAGCTGATTTTACGATCCTTTCTAACTGCTTTGTTTATATACGTTAGCACACACATTAATATGTTGCCATTCTGCAGTCTAACCCTCGTGCAACACCACATTTTAGGAAAACACACATGTACAAAAACTGACACAGGAGCAGGTGCAGAAAGGCTGGTGATGCCAATGAGGAAGAAGAGCTTCCAGCACTGTCCCCTCCTTCATACTTTCCAATAAATACTGGGACAGAAATATTCACACTAAGAAGTTAAATTCACAGAAACAAACTACTTCTTGACACAAGAAATGACCTCTTCTTTTGCCATTCTTCTGTTCTGCCAAAACTTTTATACGTGTACACAGTACATCCACAGCAGTGAATGATGCTGAAAATATTTGGAGAAGAATTAAAATTGGGGACAGTAAGGTAGGAGAGGAGAAAGGCCGGGAAATGCAGATACATAGCGTACAGGGAGTCGTCCATAAAATACGGAGATCCCATGTCTATTACAGAAGTCACAGTTCATGCTGCTCATGCAAATCCCCAAAAATTTATGCAGAACTGTACCATGTTCAATTACAGCATTTTACATTATTTCACTACAGAAAAGGGCATTTAAATCCTTTATCATGGTCCAGTTTAGAAAATGCAAGCCTAACAAAGATAGACAGAGCATAGGGTTTGTGTTTTGAATAAAGGTTAACTGTTTAGCCAAACTAAAGCTGTCAAGAGAAATATTACCTGTAGATACTGTGAAAGCTGAAACAATTCCTGAGAATACATACTGGGAGTGTTAGCAGCAACCTGAAAAATAAAAGGCTTTAAGAATAAAAATGGTTTGGGATTTTACATTAAACTCAATGAAAAATTCATTACTTAAATCTTGTCATGAATGTAAATATAAGTCTAACTTATATTATTAGTTAGTTAGTTATATCTAACTACAGGCATTTCCAATCTTTTATTGTCCTGCTACTTTTTTTTTTTAAATCATAGAATGTCCCAACTCAGGACTGAGGCCTCACTGTGTTAATGTCTTGAACCACCAACCCACCAAAGAGTTTAAGGCTTTTGTTTCATCTGAGATTAAACTCACAAAAATAAGCAAGGTGCACAAAGCTGAAGCCATTCAGCCCAAGGACAAACAGAAATCCGGGGTTTCTAGAATTGGAAAGTCTCCCGCACACACATTTCATCACATGTTTGCTGCTGACTTAGTAGCCATCATCTTCATCATTCCCCCTTTATAAGTGTTTGTTTCAGATTTGGGAAATACCCATATTCTCTCTCATTATAACTGTTCTATCTGTATATTAGCACCATCACCTTACTTGACTTCTATTCACATGCAATTAAAGAAAGTTTTGCTATGCTCTGTCATTGTCTCAGCCAGGCTTAAAGTCCGGTCTTCAGTTTGTCTTACTTCATACCTTCTCCAGGCCCAGAAACTGTTCGGAACTTGGGGGAGGGAGGGTAGTGGCAAATGGATTTATTTACTAACTCTCATAGGCTCTTCCTACATTGACTTAATTGTGAAGCTGGTTTTCACAGTTATACCTTCAGTCCGTCCTCTGAATTTCTGCTGTGGCCCTAGATGCAAGCTACATAGGCTGTTTTAAAACTTCAACTTAAATGCAAAGTCTACCAACTCCTTCGGCTACTGACTTCACAAATAAGTCCCCTTAGTTTCTCAAAATGTTGTTCTTAACATTTAAAATTTAGATTCAAGGTTAAAGTTAATCCTTCTTTTTAGAGACTAAACAGATCATCAATTCCTGTCACTTGTCTCAAGGGTGTACCTATTAACAGCTTTTCTACAAGTTCTCCACATTATCAAAACTGAATTTAAGAATTACACTAGACATAACTGACTGTGCCCTACAGTGAGTGACTCTGGCTGTATCTGCACACGAGGAGCAGAGAGGTCTGTTCCTTTGGAACATGCAAGAGCACTTCCCAGCCCATGCAGTGCAGCTTCTCATCCATAAAAAACAAGATACCAGGACAACAGACCTCATCCAACACCACATGAGCCCCACAGAACAGATCACGTAGCAAATTATGCAATACCCAAAACCTCTTTGCCAGTCAGCCTGTGCCTGGAAATTCAGCCATCTTACCATCAATTGTTTTTTTTTAACTCAGCCATGTGTCAGGTGCCACACTGACACATACAGGTAAGAAGTCAAGCTGTAGTACTGCATCACCTTCTCTACCATAAATGTCAATCAAAATATTAAACTAGATAAAAACAGGGAGAGGAAAACATATCTAAACATAACTGGACTTCACCGTTTCTTCATCTTTATACCAAGTCAGAAAACAACATGTGGCTGAATAAGGCAGAAAACAGCAAATTACTGAATTACCTTGTCAACAGGACTGGGTAATGGAGCATGGATAACACTAAAAAAAAAAAATTTAAAAGTGAACAAAAAGTACAGAAGAGCAGCTCAAAAATCCAGAAGATCCCTAGTACTGTGCATTTAATCATGATGCTTTGTAATTTTAAGTTTATTCTTAGATAAAAATGAAGTTATTACATAAATGTGCAAAGCCAGCTAATGCTATGCTGAGTGACATTTTCAAACTAACAAAACCATTTTCAAATTGAAAATCCAAAGTCTATTCTAAAAACTCTTAAACTCCTATTTCAGTATTTACATAATATTTTATTATTTTAAAAGGGTTTTATTAAAATTTAAACCAGTTTACATGCACAAAATAATAGATAAGCAAAGACAGCAGATACACTTCTCTCGTTTAGAAGTTCAACAAACCAAGTAAAATAGTACCTAGTAACCTACAATTCTGCACTCTCTCACTAGAGCAAATGTTACACTTGCTCATTTTCATCAGAACTAAAAATTTACCACCATACATTTCTACTATTTTTATTAGGACATGCAATTACATGGAAAATTTCCCAAAATAATTTATTTTGACATCTTTCCAGAAGCAAAGGTACCCTAAAGCTTCATGCAAATACTTCTGCATACTAATGATAAGAGTATTTAAATAAGCAATCAAAACCACACAATTGCTGAGAATGAAAGATTATTAATATTATGTCATTTGTAACTGGCACTCAGTTACTGCAAACAAAATGTTTAAATTTTGTTTCTACTACTTTTTGAAATTTTCTCCAAACTGTCCATATATACACAGAAAACACAATATTCACCTGAGTTTCCAAACATGATTCCAATTATTTTATGATTTTTTTTCCCCTCATGCCAAGCAGAGCTTTGCCTCATTGTGACACCAAATAACAGCACCATGAGGACACACTACTGCATTACTGGTATGAATAGTATGAACAGTTGTGTGTGTACACACAGAGTCATCATTAACTTCCCTTGAGTGTATGTGTATGTAAAGGAGCAAAATAATCCAATACAAAAAAGAAAACAAAGCAGAGGGAATGATATTTTGCTCATTTGCTTCCTTTTGTTCCAATATTCTTCTGTTTATAAACCCATTCCCACACACTGAACCACAGCCATCAGAAAAGTCCAACTTGGTAAGAACTTATACTTTTATAGAACTTTTTAAATCTTTCATAGTTGTCTTAATTTCCAAAAGCGACAAGCAAACAAGATTTATTTTCCATAATGCCTGCAAAAGAACTATGTTCTCAGTTATTTTCTTTGCATGGCCACAGGAAAAGAAAACATTCCTATGCTGATTTTAAATATAAAACGTATCAAACACTCATTATACACTAGTTCAGTTTTGCTACACAAAGATATTATTCTTACTCTGATCGCAATCGAGCTTCCATTCCATCTGGAAGAAACAGTTTGATTGTGGAGACTATACATCCATGGGTAACTGAAAAGAAACAAACACTACGTCATCATGATTCATTACTATTTCATTTTAAGTTCAATGGTTAATGTTATAGTAACCGAGCAAACTGCCTCAGGAGGCTCTGAGGCAGGCAAACAAGAGGCAGCCTTCAAGCACCAGTGCCTGGGTCTGCCTTCTCAGACCCCGTCTGCAGACAGGAAACTGTCCTTAGAAACTTGTAGAGGTTACGCTGTGCACTTAGTCCTGGCTGTGAAGCAGTTCCAACTCCTCCCCATGCAGCAGTGTCTGCACGACGTCTACTGCACCAAGTTAAAAAGTTAACTGTACGTTTTCATCGCAAAATGAAGAAAAATGAATGCATCCTATGGGCGCTACGTAATGGGAATGCAGAAGTATTAAAAGAAAAAAATAATGAGCTACCTTTTTGCCAAGATTCCTATGAGCATATTCAGAAATTTAAAAGATAACACATC